CTAGTACTGCGCTTAAATTCATAAAGGCTACGTATCAAAGAAGAAAGCTCATCAGAACAATTAACATGTGCATATTTATAAAAAAAACTAAAAAAACAAGGCACAGGAAAGCTGCATAACGGCTGTGGGGGAAGTGACTGAAGCCATGATGCCAGGTCAGGATCAATAACATTGCAGATTCTTTGTATTTTACGATGAATCTCTAAATATCTAGCAGAAGCAACAGACCACATGCGACAGCAATATGTATTGTTTGTTCCTAATAAAGTTGGGGTATGGCTTCTTGCATGTATATATATATATATATATATATATATATATATATATATATATATATAACTAAAATAAATCCTCAAGAGCCAAGAAAACATACCTTGGTTTCACCCTTACTTTGAAGATCCTTTTAGGTGGAACCAAGGTATGTTTTCTTGGCTCTTGAGGATTTATTTTAGTTATTCCCGCTCTACTTAACGTATTGAGCACTCTACGTTTTAGTCTTATTATTCGCTTGTTTTTTTTTTTGTTTTTTTCTTTGGACTAAAGACTTAAGGCACTGGTCGATTTATTTCGCCCAGTTCGGATGTTTTTATTTCTTTCTTCTTTTTATTTCCAATTGTTTTCTCGGGTACTTTTGACATATCTACAAGTTGTGCTATGCGAGGTTTTTTTTTTCCAAACGAGTATTACTATATATATATATATATATATATATATATATATATATATATATATATATATATATATATTAATAAATACATATATACGTACGCTTGTAGTGCATTTAACAATTATGTCTCATAAATTGGTTAACAATGAAACACAGAACTGCACTATAAACGCAAGTGTATTTATTAATATATATTTTATAGCTCTGTTTAATTACATTGAGCACTGTTTGTTTACACCTTAAATTAAATATTTATTAGCTCATCTGTACATGTACGTTCTCACACGCATATATAGTTGTTAATATCTCGTTATTTAGTTTATATTCACACTTATGAATATATATATATATATCCGAATGTAATGAGGACTAAAGAGGACTCAATACCAAGAGTAGAGCAATAACGAGCGGTCTGCTTACAGAATTGTTCATAAGCATTTTTGGTTCCCACCTGTAGAGGTGAAACTAAATGCACCGAAACAAGGTTGCATCTTTGTAGTGAGTAAATTGAATGCTCTTTTTATCCGAGCGCTTTCGGCTATACATTTAGCCATTTTCAAGGATTAAATATTTTAACTGTTAAATAAGAAATAGTTTGTTGTATGTGTGTTTCATAAATTTATTTACATCTCGACGTATTTTCAGCAAGAATTCTTTTTTTATTATTAAACAGACAAAGTCTGTTCAACGTTTATTTAGCTTCTTCCAAGTAGTTTATGTAAGAATTAGCTTTACAAAAGTCATTTTCTACATCCATCCATGTACTTTCGACTGTCCCTATATCCTTACCAAGAATTGCTTGTTATTAGAATGACGTGTTTAGCTAATTCCGGCGTTACTTTGTCTGCTGGGACTAATTTCAAGTCACGTAATGGTGACGTCATCGATACAACGGTCAAACTAAATGCTTTTTTTTTGTGCCCATATATACACGGTGTCCATAAAGTTCACCTGCACTTTAAAAAATTTATAACTTTATTTTTATTCTCGATAGAAATAATTAGTAAAAAGAATTAGAAAGAGGTACATCTATATTTTTTAAGGTTTTATTGAAATTTTATTTAAGTTTCCACATGTCCTCCATCATGAGCAATAGAAAGGGTAATACGATTTTGCAGTTCACGGAAAACATTTGCCAACTGATTTACAGTAATGCCTGAAATCACATTAGTTATTTTACCTATACTTAAAACTAGGTGCATTAAACTTTATAACGTTTTTTTACAGATTATTTCTATCGCAAATACAAATAAAGTTATAATTTTTTTAAGTGCACACGAACTTTTTGGACACCCTATATATATATATATATATATATATATATATATATATATATATATATATATTCAACAAACAAGAACTTTCTTGTTATTGGTCTTGTAGTTTTCCAATTTTCGAATAAGATATTGTACATCAGGATAAAAGGAGATGGAATATTGAAGTGCCTACTATAATGGATTGCGGCTCTGACTGAGGAATCCGAGTTCGAATTCCAGTCGTATCCATTACATTCACTTACGTGCAAATACCATTAGCAGAGGTATGAATCCTCTTCTTCCCCCTCCAGCTATGGGTAAATAGCAGGGCAGACAGGGTTCTATAGCCTTGGGTGGCAACCTTTCTAGGAGATGGAAAAACTCTGAATTCAAAACCAGTCTGGAGAGAGTTGGCCTCCGTCAGTCCAAGAAACACCACTTCTACTGTGGCTGCAGTACACATAGTGCCCCTACGACCCTTACGGTCACGGGATAAAAAAAAAGCCTTGTATAGTGCAAACCCTGAATGTCTTTTTGCGAAAAATCTGGGTTTTTTTTTCTTCATAAAGATCGTGTATCACGTGACTTCAACTTCTAAGCAATGCTAGTAGGCTTACCTTCATTAAATATTGTTATACTGGACTTCACGCTGAACATATTTTATAGCAGATAAATGCTCTTCATTCCTTTTTGTACAAAGCTACCACAAAACGGTCAGAAAAATGACTTCCCGTAGAAGAAAATCTGATATGAAGATTTAGATAACGGACTTTTGTGTTCATTCATGCATGACTATAGTAACTCCTTTACGCTGGGCCTGCATCCTACGAAGCGTGAGTTACTTCCCTTTTCTCGCTACAAGAAGAGCAAAATTACATACACTATGTATACATCTTTAAAAAAATGCCTTATATGAATGAAAAATTAACAGATATTTTCCCGATCTCAAATTGTTTACAACGCAGAGGTATTGCCTTTACAGGTATAATCTTTTTTATCAGCATTACCGAATTTAAATGCGTGATTTTTAACCTCTTTAAAAAATTACCTATAGATAGTGCGACCCCCTGCGTAAAAAAAGGCTGTTCCTAAAATCTTGTGAGTATATATGGTGTAAGGAGGTATGGTAGCGTAATGGATAGCGACTCGGATTGAGGAATCGGAGAGCCGAGTTCGAATTCCAGTCGAATCCATTACATTCACTTACGTGCTAATACGCTTGGAAAAGGTACGAATCCTCTTCTTCTCCACTTCGTAATGGGTAAATAGCAATACAGACCGGGAAAAAAATCGGCCTCGTAATTCATGTATCAAAAGATACATGATCGCCTAAGCGTGTATCACGCATGGTGCATTACTGACTGAATGCTTAAATAATACAGTAAATATTTATACGAGGCAAAAAAACATTAGCAATACGAAGGGTAATACGATCACGGAAAATATTTGCCAACTGATTTACAGCAATGCCTGAAATCACATTAGTTACTTTACCTATACTTAAAACTTTATAACATTTTTTAACAGATTGTTTCTATCGCAAATACAAATTAAGTTATAAATTTTTAAAGTGCACACAAACTCTATGGACACCATAAATATATATATATATATATATATATATATATATATATATATATTTTAAGCATTGTGCCCCAAGCAAGGCGTGAAGCCACTAGGATTTAGGGGGTTGCAGAAGATTTGGAGCGAGAACAGATAAGAGTGATAGGGGAAAGGAAGAGGAGAAGGATAGTGGGTAGATCAAGGTAATTGGAGATGTCGATTGACATTACATTTGAATAGTTGGAGATTATAGCTTTCAGGGAAACAATAATTGGGGAGGGTGTTCCACTGGCGAGAGGTGCGAGGTATGAAGCTATTGGAGTAGAAGAGGCGGCTACATTTGAAGGTTTCTACGGTGTAAGGGTGAGAGCGGGATGCCAGCCTCGTAGGGCGCTTGAATTCATGGAGTCTGGGAACCAGAGAGAGCAGCTCATCTTTATGGTTATTGGTCTTGTTGCTTTCCAATTTTCGAATAAGATATTGTACATCAGGAAAAAAGGAGGTGGAATATTGAAATGCCTACTATAATGGATACCGGCTCTGACTGAGGAATCGGAGAGCCGAGTTCGAATTCCAGTCGAATCCATTACATGCTAATATCCTTGGGAAAGGTATGAATCTAGCTTCTTCACCCTCTCCCCAGCTATGAGTAAATAGCAGGACAGACCCGGTTCTATAGCCTTGGATAGCAACTGGTCCACCGCAAGAAGAAATGGCAACCTACTGCAGGAAAAAAAATCTGCCTCGTCAGTCATGTATCGAAAGATACATGATCGCCTAAGCGTGTATCACGATTGGCGCATTACTGACTGAATGCTTAAATAATAAAGTAAATATTTATGCAGTACGAGTCAAAAAACACGGACGCACCCTTAGAAAGACCATTTTGGTATTTTTACCAAGACAAGTGAGTAATAGAATTCATTTATTAAGACAAGGTATTAATGCAGGTGTCCATATGCACATTATACAAGTGAAAAAAAGATTTAGTATTTAGTTGGGTAAACTTTTGCTTTAATAACGGCCTTAATTCTTCGTGGCATGCTATAGACTAAATACTTTAGTAAGTCAACGTCTTTCACCAGATTTTTCCAGCTTTCCTTTATTTCACGAAAAAACTCATCTTTTGTGTTAACTTTCTTATTACGGACAATATTGTCTATTATCGCCCAAAGGTTTACAATTGGGTTTAACGTCAGGGCTCTGACTCGGCCACAGGAAGAGTTGCAATTTACCTCGCCACGCTTTCTTCTCTAAATAAAGTTTATTCCTTAAGGCAGTATGCTTAGAATCGTTATCGTTCCTAAGTCATTTTTTGACTTTTATTTATTATTTGGCCCCCTAGCAGGTGCTACCATCCAAAGTCAGGGTAGACCTGGAAACAACAGCAATTAAGAGGTGGTCTACAATATTCAAGACATCCAATCTCCCGATCAGAGGCCTTGCTATCGGATGTAGTCTATCATCATACCCACGACATGGGTTTCCTACATATACGTGTAAATGCAGGATACTGATAGATAGACAGATAGATGTAAACAGGCATAGAGATAGATAGATAGATAGATAGATAGATAGATAGATAGATAGATAGATAGATAGATAGATAGATAGATGTAAACATTCAGATTGATAGATAGATAGATGTAAACAGGCTGACATAGATAGATAGATAGATAGATAGATAGATAGATAGATAGATAGATAGATGTAAACAGGCATAGAGATAGATAGACAGATAGATAGATGTAAACAGATAGATAGATAGATAGATAGATAGATAGATAGATAGATAGATGTAAACAGGCATATAGATAGATAAACATTCAGATAGATAGATCGATAAATAGATAGATAGATGTAAAAAGGCATAGATAGATAGATAGATAGATAGATAGATAGATAGATAGATGTAAACAGGCATAGAGATAGATAGATAGATAGATAGATAGATAGATAGATAGATAGATGTAAACAGGCATAGAGATAGATAGACAGATAGATGTAAACAGATAGATAGATAGATAGATAGATAGATAGATAGATAGATAGATAGATAGATAGATAGATGTAAACAGGCATAGAGATAGATAGATAGATAGATAGATAGATAGATAGATAGATAGATAGATAGATGTAAACAGGCATAGAGATAGATAGACAGATAGATAGATGTAAACAGATAGATAGATAGATAGATAGATGTAAACAGGCATAGAGATAGATAAACATTCAGATAGATAGATAGATCGATAAATAGATAGATAAATGTAAACAGGCATACATATATAGATAGATAGATAGATAAATAGATGTAAACAGGCTGACATAGATAGATAGATAGATAGATAGATAGATAGATAGATAGATAGATAGATAGATAGATAGATAGTGTAAACAGGCATAGTATAGATAGACAGATAGATGTAATCATTCAGATAGATAGATAGATAGATAGATAGATAGATAGATAGATAGATAAACATTCTGACATCTAGGTATATAATGAATTGGGTGTCATAGATAGACAGACAGACACACAGACATACTTCATGAAACAGTCTTCGGTTAAGTTTTAATTGTATTTCTCTTGATTGCGAATATTAAGAGATTCCTTTCTTTTATTTTATTTCGACTGTGTAGTTTTTGTCAAATGTTATCTAATCAATTAGACATTTGCCTGTATTCTTGTGCGTGTCAACACACACACATTTACATACATACATACATACATACATACATATATATATATATATATATATATATATATATATATATATTATTGATGTGTGGGTTGAATATGTTCATCATCAGTAATGTATACATGTGTATTTGCCCGTATGACCATTAGACTGTAAACTGGCATCATCGACGGATATGTTTAGAATCCAATGCCCCGTGAAGTCTTGCAGAGGCCCCATCTCTTCCCCTTACTTTCCATCCCCACGTCTAAAGCTGATATCCGATACCAAACATCGAAACGATCCTTTTTACAACCAGAGCAGCAACCCTATTTACATCTACCAACGACTACATTTACAGCCTGCTTCTGAAACATCTTCCTGTCAGACTCCATCTGTTACTCCCTACCCCTTCGTTTTCTTTCTTTTTCTTTAGGCAACCTTATATATCTTATGTCTGCGCTTGTGCGTGTGTGCGCACATGATAGTTAAGGATAATCATTTTCGACCCCTCCCCCTTTCTTTTCCAGCGTCTTCGCACTTTCTTTCAACCCCGACACTCTCTCGGCTAAGTCGATATAGTACAAACATTCTTAACGGCACTCATCAGTACGTCCCATCTTTCTTCTTTCCTTCCTTCTTTTTCATAATCTATCTATCTATCTATCTATCTATCTATTTATCTATCTCATCTCCTACATATTTAAGTGCCCGGCCATTCTCAGCCGTACAAGAAGGGACACCCCTTTAAAGGGATGAAAAGAGAAAACCTAGGAAATAGCGCCCCGCTTGTCGCTTTCACGTGAGCTGAGACCAGTAACTGACCATCCTCGCCCGAAATGCCACAATGACCGTTTTGCAAGTCATTTTCACCGTCAGTTGACTTATGACCTGATCACTACTTTCCTGACGACTAGAAATTATTTCTTTGGGGGTCAGTCCTCAGGCTAGACCGACTGGACTTGTCCCATGAGCGGCGCCGCCGACAATCATTTGGACAGACAGAAAACGGGAGAAACGCAATGAGGAACTCTAGAGACAGACATCTTCTGTCGAAATCATCATCATCATCATCATCATCATCTTCTTCTTCTTCTTCTTCTTCTTCTTCTTCTTCTTCTTCTTCAGAATCTGTCACGTTGAACTTTTTCGTAAACCAATCCTAGCGAGAATACCAATATCTGGTAAAACGGATTTCTGACAAATTAACATCTCGTTCATTCGACCATGTTAAATTATCACCCGAAAGTCAAATTTCCTTTTATTTGATTTTCGTATATATATATATATATATATATTTTGTTATTCGTCAAAATACTTCCAAAATAATCAA